CTAACATGAAACAGCACTGCGTAAATACATCTATGGATAATACGCCTAGAAATACAAAAGTGAAGCGGCCTAACAGGTGAATGCTTAATAGTACATCGTCAGCGGCTTCGTCCAATGACAGCCGTCCGTCGTCTTCATCTCAACGTGATCTCGCCCTTCCACGCTGCGTCACTCAACCCAAGCGTCTGCATCAGGTTCTGCCACCTGGGACCACCCCTCTCCTTCCTCCGTAGATAGCTAAGCAACTTTTGTCTCCGGTGGACGAACAGCCGTAGTCGGCGCTTGTTGTGCTTGTCCTTGTGTGAAGTCGTCTTCAGCTGCTCGGCCAACACCAGGATCTTGGACGTTAGGATAGCCACTTGTACCTCGGGCGAACCCGTGTCTGGGCCAGCGCGCGGCCGTTTGGCAGATGACTCGAGACTGGCAGGGTCTTGACCTGCAGCGGCCGGTTTGGGAGGGAGTACTCGGTCGGTGTTGTGACGGCCGAGTATGTCGATTGACCGCTTGATATTCAGCTTTGTTCGGTTCCTGGTGCTGCCGTTCTTCATCGCCAGGATTCGACGGACAGCTTCCTCGGCATTCTTGTGGTCTTCTTCGTGCTTCTTGATAGCGTCTTCGACCTGCTGGGGATCAACGACGCTACCGTCAATAGGCGGTACAGGTCGTGTGAGCTGCTTGGACGTTTCGAGGGCGGATGCAAGCTCGGACTTGGAGATGCAGTAGTTCACATAGCTCGGCTGCTCGTTGTCTGAGGGAACATGCACACCCTTCGATCCCAGAGTCGGATAGAGGGACGGGTTGAGCATGGCTTCTATCATTGGTGTCTTCTCGCTGGCAACCGGATCGCCAAACGCTTCCGTCCGCTGCTGGCTCAATTCACGCTGTCGAGATATGTTTGCAGCTTTCCGCTGACGTGCCTGTGCAATTGCAAAGGGATCTCGCTGTCTCCGTCCATGGCCCTTTGTTGTGACCGTCCTCGATTGCTGCGAGCCAACCCGGCTCAGGGTCAGGTTACTGAACCAGCTACATAGGCCTGTACAATCCCCAATTGATCAGTAATGGATCAGATTTTACCTAACACGCATGCGCTGTACATACCGCTTGAGCCCACGCGAGGTGCCATCTTATGCTGATTGAGTCCACTTTCTCCCCTTTTCGTTCCTGGCTTCCGCTGTCTATCTCTTTTGCTTTCCTCAACCTTCAAATTTCTGTCTTCGCAAATCTTCATCCGCTTCTAACTTCCATTCTTGGCGCTCCAAACTTAAAATCTCGGATTTACTTTCCTCCGTCCCTACCCTAAATCCTAGTCAGCGATTAGTCACGCACAAAAAACGAGCGACTCCGCCAAGAATTCCAAAATAGGCGAAATTTCGACCTTCGCGAGCTTTGATTTTTTTGATCTTTTCCCTCGTTTACTCTCTCCCATCCCCGTCAAGACAACCGCCGTCGATTGATACTCTTCCTTATACACCGTCCCCCAGCAGGATAGATATCAGTCGCCCATCATGGCTCCCTCCAATCTCCCACCAGTCTTCAATGCCACCTCCCAGGACATGGAGATGATGCTCACTGCCCAGTGTCATCTCGGTTCCAAGAACATGCAAACCCATATGGAGCCTTACCTGTGGAAGACTCGTCCAGACGGTGTCAACGTTATCAACATTGGCAAGACCTGGTATGCGGCGAATTCTTCTGGAAACACCCAGCTATAAACCGAATGACGCGCAAAAAACTAATATGCTGTGTTTAGGGAGAAGATTGTCCTTGCTGCCCGTATCATTGCTGCCATCGACAACCCAGCTGATATCTGTGTCATTTCTGCCCGTCCATACGGCCAGCGTGCTGTTCTCAAGTTCGCCGCCCACACCGGTGCTGTTGCGATTGCCGGTCGTTTCACCCCCGGTAGCTTCACCAACTACATCACCCGCTCTTTCAAGGAGCCTCGCCTGATTGTTGTCACTGATCCTCGCACCGACGCCCAGGCCATCAAGGAGGCCAGCTACGTTAACATCCCCGTTATTGCTCTCTGCGACGCCGACTCCCCTACCGAGTTCGTCGATGTTGCTATCCCAACCAACAACAAGGGTCGCCACGCTATCGGTCTCGTCTGGTGGATGCTTGCCCGCGAAGTCCTCCGCCTCCGTGGCACTCTCGCTACCCGTGAGACCGAATGGGATATCGTCGTCGATCTGTACTTCTACCGCGACCCAGAGGCCGAGGAAACCAAGGAGATTGAGGAGGCCAAGGCCGCTGAGGCCGAGGAGGCTGCTCCTGAGGCTCTCAACCCAGCTGATACTTGGGATGCGGCTGGTGCTGCTGCTCCTGCTGCCTTCGGTGCTCCCGCTGCTGCTACCAACTGGGAGGCTTCCAACACCGACTGGGCTACCTCCGGTGCTGCTGCTGGTGAGAGCTGGGCCGCTGATGCCGCCGCTGCTGAACCTACTTGGTAAATGCAGCTACTCGATTCCAAAGGGCATAAAACAAAATCCGATTGACGGCCATTGGTCTACTCTGTTTGTCCATCTACGACGGTCGTTCATGTTAACTGCGACAAAAGAAAGATTTAACGAGTTCATCAACCCCTTTCTCCATACGGTTATTGCTTTGAATGTCATGGCTTTCATTTGACGGCGCTTACGAGGGAAAGATACCCATCTGGCCTCTGGTCCTTTGGGGGAAAGCCCTGTGCTGTCAACCAGGGGCGTACTTAATCGTTGTCCCACTCCTATTAGCTAGATCCAAATAAAAAAATACATGCAATTACCTGAGCCAGTTGTTTTGCATACTGCATAGAACGTAAAACTCAATTGCTAAGGGTAAATGGTGGATATGCAGAACTTTGGAAGGCGAGAAAAGAAAGGATATCAACCGCAGTAATATATGTAGCCCGTATTATCATGCTGGTGCAGTCTAGTACTATAGAAATCAGCATGTTCTACTGCGCCAATCTCTATTAATAGACTCGTAGTCGCATACTCGCTGGTCTTGAAAGGGCGCCTTCTCTCGCGTCCGACAGCTAAACCTAACGGTCGACACCAAGGGCGACAAGTATCGGCCAGCCTCACCAGGTGGCCCACGAGCATCACCCAGTGATAGATTTCTGACATATCCATTGTACTCTGGTGCTGCCCAAATTGTACAGTTCGGTTCCCCGAATCAAGTAATTCGCCATCCAATGAAGCATGTATGGCCATATCTTTTATGCTATATGCAAGTTTACCGGAGGTATTATCGTGAAAAGCAACCGCTCCATCCCAAAGTTGACACAGTTGCTGCATGCTAGTACAACTTTGAATTGCCTCCTTAACAACTCGTACGTGCAGATGTGATAGTAAGGTGCAAGGACTAAGGCAGACTGACTCACATATCCGAGACGGGGGGTGGATCTCTTGCAACTGCAGTTGGAATAGCCAGATAAAACTCAAAAGATTCTCAACGGTTGTCAAGGAAAATCCTAGGCTCTGTAGGTCTTTACTACCCGCTGCCTCGTCTTTATCTGCAGCAATATTACCCACGCGTACGTTCAACGAACACGAGGCATTGACCACAATAACAAACTGTTGGTTCAGGAAGATCAGAACATTATTGATTAGATCAAACGATGGGGACCGATAGGTCATCACGGGTGCTACAAGCCTGACTGGGCAGCCACCCCATTCATCCTTTGCCATATCAAATTCTTCTGTTGCTATAGAAGTGGCCGGTTTGACCGTCCAATATGATGAGTCATTGTGATTTTGGAGGTAAGTATTCACCAGGAACCCGTTGCTTTGCATCTCATTGATGATATGTTCATATACTGCCCGCAGTAACTTCCATTGCGCCGAGTGACGAAAACTCCCTGTGTTTATAGCAGTAATGAAGTCCGCGATCTTGAAATTGATGATAAACTCGACTTCCACACCAAAGGTGTACAAAGTGCGAACTCCGTTTGGGAGAGCGTCACGGAACCGGGCCATAATCTTAGGGTATCTACCAGGAAAGGCAACCTCCAAGGAATAATTCTCCAAATGAAAGTGCAAGGAACGGGGGGCATTATCTAGGGTATATAAAAAGAAAATATATAAAGCTTCATCATCTCTGACGCCTGTAGGGTAACCCCGTCTGGGATTCCAGTTGTTTCCCGTAGCCGTACATGTTTGTGTAGGTCCTTTCTCCAATGTACTGGAGACTGTTTTACGTCCGGTATCCTACTATCCATGGCCTTTTATAGCTAAACAGTAGGATCCAGCCCTCAAAGAGAACATGTTGGCGGAATCAATTTCATTATTATTAGACATAATGATTTTAATACCTTGTTCCAAGGATTGGTAAATGTTTGACATCGTCAAAGGGATGAGGTTCATACAGATGTTGGAATAAACTCCGGCCTTGGCGCTAACAAACTAAATGATCACGTGGAGCCTAACAAGCGCTTCCTCGACACCGTCCTTAAGCGCGCTGAACCTAAAGAAAACCATCCCAAGACCCATCAGAAATGTACATAGGACCTTCCACATCCCTCTAGCTTCCCTTCGAAATGAAAACGTATATGTACTCCGTAGGTTTTAAATTCATTATTATTAAACAAATGGCAGATATGAACTTACCGGACAAAACTGTGTCTGCAGTGCCATACTACACCCTTCGACCTGTAATTCAATACTTATACATGACTACCAAGAAAAAAATATGCACAGTGTAGGGTAAGAAATAATAAAATACTGAATGAGGTAAGCTTGTACTCTATAGCTTAATATAATAATGAAATATCCTGCTTAAAAGTCCAACCAAAGCCAAACTCGTAGTCCCCCAAATAGCTTTCACGTGACCATGGAGACGGCTGGATTTTCACCTTTTCAATTGAAAGAAAGTCTACATATTTCAACATCAAGGACTAAATAAAGAAAAGTATGAGAGTGCTGTGTTGGGGGAGTTGCACCAATGTTAACAGAGTTACAATATCCATAACACACGCAAAACGGTTCCTGTCGACTCCTAGGTTTCTCATCGAGCAAAAGATGACCGAAGACTCATCCCATTCGCCGTATTCCGACTGGTCTAATACCAGCCTCATAAATCGAATTCATGAACTGGAACGGCAGTTAAATCAATGCCCTCAGAACGCCGCCTCTATCCCTAGCACTGAGTGCCAAAAAGTCGACAAAGGTCTAGGTCAGCCGGAGAGAACACCCACTAATAGTCGACCCCGCGAACGATCCACGAGCTTGAACCCTTCTCGAAAGTCGGATAAGAAACGCCGCAAAATTGACCCTTCAAAATATTCGACTCGCCATATTGCCATTAAGTTTGCCTATCTGGGGAAACGATACAATGGATTAGAGCATGCCAATGGCAATTATACTGAGGCACCAACAATTGAAGAGGAACTCTGGAAGGCTTTGCGAAAGACTCACCTTATATTCCCGACTCATAAAGACTGTACTGAGGAGTTTAGCGGAAAGGATAACAGTCCTTCTCGCCCATATGCAATACACTGGGATGGGTGCCAATACTCTAAATGTGGTCGGACGGACAAAGGAGTCAGCGCGTTTGGGCAGGTGATAGGTATCAGAGTGCGAAGCTTACGACCCGCGGACCCAAACCCCCCTGCTGACTTAGAAGAAGGGGATGTTATGGATTCCGACGTTGCAACCGAATCGGGTATGGGCGATAGAAATACACAAAGTGGTGTCTCTGATACAGGAGAAGCCAAGGGATGGGATGATATTGCAGACGAATTACCCTATATACAGATCTTGAATGGCGCTCTACCTGAGGACATACGAGTTCTTGCGTGGTGCCCTCATTTACCTCCTGATTTTGACGCACGCTTTTCATGTCGCCAAAGAAGGTACCGTTACTTTTTTACCCAGCCCGCATTTTGCCCGACTCCCGGTGCTAGAGGCATCGTCAGATCTTCTGAATTGAAAGATGATTTATCTTTAGCGAGGCTAAGAGAAGGATGGCTGGATATAGAAGCTATGCGGGAAGCAGCACAATATTTTGTGGGCAGTCATGACTTTCGAAATTTCTGCAAAGTTGATACGAGCAAGCAAATAACAAATTTTGTGCGGCGTATTTTACGTGCGGATATAGAACTCGTGGACCCTCAGAGAACCCCGCTTGGCTTTGTGCAAATGCCTGGGTTTGAACCTTTTGAAAACGGCCCTAGAAATACCGGGGTCCCCGAAAGCATTGATGATATCAACCCAGCAGCCGGCAAAGTGTATTCATTCACAGTGCACGGTACAGCATTTCTATGGCATCAAATTCGTCATATGGTTGGAATCCTATTTCTTGTTGGCCAAGGCCTTGAACATCCATCTATAGTTCCTGAGCTATTAGATGTCACAAAAAACCCGCGACGGCCGGTGTATGAGATGGCTTCAGACTCCCCTCTTGTTCTCTGGGACTGTATATTTGGAGAAGAAGAGGATGAATTAGATTGGGTCTACCCAGGTGATCCACGAACTTTGAAATCTCCGTCGCGCAGGACAGATGGCAATTTTGGTCAAGGTGGTCTCGTTGAAGACTTGTGGACCCTCTGGAGGAATAGAAAGATCGATGAGTTGCTGGCTGGTACATTGTTGGAATCCATGGCGAATCGAGGTCAGTCAATTGCTGCTTCGAAAGGAGATGACCATCCGTCAAATCAGGTACAAACAGCCCGGAGTCCAAGGGTTTTTAGTGGAGGAGATAATGGGAAACCCGTTGGAAAACATGTCCCACTGTTGAACAGAACAAAGCTTGACCTTGTCGAGGACATGAATGCCCGGTATCTGTCAAAAAAAGGGCACAAGTATTGGAACAAGGTCCTAGAATACCAGGAAGAGCAGCGGAAAGCGGCACTTGATGGCGAATGAGGTCCTTTGAAAATTGATAGATAATCTAGGTTGGGCCATCACCCGTAGCGTACTATAAAGCCACATGACTTCCCATTATGAGGAAGATTCGTAAAGGCATTTTCGAGCCCCTTTCCACACTTCCTCGACGATCATACGCTTCGGTAACAAGTTCTGTAACTTATTAGCTATGCCATAAACACTCATTATCACAGGATATCATAGTTGAGGAGTCAAGGAGTACTGGGGAGTACCCACAGGGAACACAACAACAACGTCGGACTCTCCATCGACAATGATAGCTAGATAGTATCGCACTTCAAACCCCCTGAACGCTTCATGGATCACAATATCCTGGATCTGAGTTGTTGGGATAAATCTCGTTGTCGCGCTGGGGAAATAAGTCGCAGAAGACGTCGATGTCTGTACTCCCAGGCCACGAATGACAAGCAAAGATTCCTCTTTCAACCATCATTAGCGTTCTGGCCGCTCGCTGGACGGAGTAATATGGAAACAAACCAGTATAGCCTTTTCTGACTACAAAATAGAGCAATAAGGCGCTGCAAGCAGCAATGCCTTGCCACATGTAGGCGTCTGCGATATTGCACGCAATCAGACCGATACTACTCGTCCATATTGTGTCCCATGGAATAGCGGTCCAACTGTCGGGTATGTGGTTGCGGCATGTAGCGGTATCAACCAAAATAACGAATGCAAATATTACAATTCGGATAATAATTCCGACGTAGAAAATGATCTTCGAGGCGATTGTCGACCTTGGGGCAGCATTCGAGACTGTAAATTGAACAGTAGTAGATGAAGGGTTATAAGTTTTCAGATGAGGTGGCATTATATAAACTCTTGTTATGAGTCTCTATTCTTATGTACCACAATTTCCCTAATAGCTCCCTCACGTCAAACATGAAGAACTCAACCTGTCGAAATACCACTCGAATATTTGTGGCTTTAAGAGTTGTATGGGAGGTTTTTCAAGTTGCTTTTCTCATAGCTCGCCAACAGTCGGGGACGCGACGGGAAGACATATATCACGTGACAAGTCCCACCAAGAAGAGAGTATGATATGCATACGAAAGACTTCTACGGATGACAACTAAAGTTTACCGCTGTATGGGGGTCACTCATAGGCTGAAGTAGTAATGTGCTCCAAATCCTGCTACATTCTAGCGTTGCTGTACTGCTGAGCGCGGCCTGTTCGTGGTTGGCCTACCGGCTTAGTAATAGCACTGTTTCTGCGGATTTCGCGGCTAACGCGAGTTAAAGTTTAAAGAGCGACCAATCATGTAGAAGTAGTCACCTGTTCTGCTAAAACAGAAGAGATCGCAAGGGGAAAAGATGTTGGTTGGCGCCTAGACAAATCATACATCAAAGGGACAACGCAATCTGCCTGGGACGCTGTTCAAATGCCGCGGAGCCCTTCACCACGTCGAGACGAGCGAAGGAGCCGGTCCCCCGCGAGACGGCACGACGAAGGAGAGAGGCATAGAGATACAGCGAGGAAAAAACAATCGTCCGGTTTTCGGTGGAAAGAAAAGCGACGCGACGATGATAGGGACAGGGAGAGAGATTCGGGGAGATCCAGAGGTTTAGAGCGTGGATATCGCGGTAGTGATAGGCGAAGGTCTCCATTTAGAGACCGTGATAGAGAAAGGGACAGAGACTTGGACCGTGGCCGTGACCGCGAACGCAGGGCAGCAAGGGACGATCCAAGCGACCAGAAGCCTGTCGAGAAAGAGAAGGATAAGAAGAAAAAGAAGCCATCTGCTGCCCCGTCTAACGAGCCTATGATCATTGTTAATGTCAACGATAGACTAGGCACCAAAGCTGCCATTCCATGCCTTGCTTCAGATCCTATTCGTAAGCCTTCCTGGCTCGCCTTATACCCTGCCCCGACCTAGGCTAATATGTCCTGCAGGTCTCTTTAAAGCTCAAGTAGCTGCTCGCATTGGACGGGAACCACATGAGATACTTCTTAAAAGACAAGGAGAGAGGCCGTTCAAAGACCAACTTACTTTGGAAGACTACGGTGTCAGCAATGGCGTACAGCTAGACTTGTGAGTTGCCACCTGCTTCCCTTTTCATATCCTGGCTTAGACATGCTAACTTTGATATAGGGAGGTGGACACTGGAGATTGACGCGGTTGCATACGGATATCTTCCTCTATGCACGCTCGAGATGAAGAAGCTTGCGGTCATGAGCTTTGTTATGTTATAATGAACCATCCTGATTCTTTCACGCCGCTGCTCTGGACTATGATGAAGCAAAAAGAGCCCTCCAAATTAATACATCTGTTATAATATATTTTGGTTCCTTTTTGGTTCTACACCCTGTTCGTGTACTAGGTATATCTGCTGCACCCCGGATAAACTCCGGCAGTAGCTTGGTAACCCATCTCCCTGTCTTTCCCTCCTTCCCGCCCTCCCTCTTCCTTGCTTTCCTCCATTGCCCCCCTGCCGCCTCTACTCCATCTACTATGCCCCTCCCCATATCTCCCGCCCCGTCCTCCATCCCTCTGCCTCACCTTCCGCTGCATCATGTGTCGTCTTGCCTAAACCGGCCGCCAAAACGTCATGCTGACTAACAGTCGCGCCTTTCCACTTTAGGCATAACATGCGCCTTATCCAGCCAATCAGGATGTTCCATTGCATGTGACCGTCGGCGGAAAAACTGGGCTGCAAAAATGGAAATTTCGAAACATCCACAAATTCCGTGATTGACTTTTTGCCTCATTATTGTGTCCGGGCCAAACTCTCGCTTGCAACCATGCTTGCCTCCCGTCTCTTGAGCCTGCTCTCCTCCTCCATGCTGCCCTAACAATGATGTTGAGAGCGAGATTGTGATTACTATCCTCCTGGAATCAGTGATAGCATCTTTTGCCTTAATTTTCGCTGTTGTCTTTTACGAGTTTGATTGGCCTTTGAAAATTTACTCCAGCCGCGGCCGTTTGACAAACCCTCATCGATCGGCATTTCTATACTGCTCGGACTTTACATCATAACCATCAAGGATCCCATCTAGCACACCACAGACCTTAGGAAGACTTGCTAGAGCTATTTAATCATGGTCCGAAACCTCGTTGTCCTGGGCGGTAGCTCGCATCCTCAGCTGAACGCTACAATCTGCAGACAGCTGGGCATCCCTCCAGTCAACGTTCTGTTGACAAAATTTTCTGTTGGTGAGACACGCGTTGAGATCAATGAGTCGATCCGAGGGAAAGATGTCTACATTATCCAATCTGGTGGAGGAAAAGTGAACGATCACTTGATGGAGCTTTTCATTACTATCTCGGCCTGTAAGACTGCCTCTGCCAAGCGAGTCACTGCTGTCCTTCCTCTCTTCCCATACTCTCGCCAAAGCGACATTCCTTACAACAAAGCCGGAGCTCCCCTCGTAAAATCGGCCACTGTCGCCAAACCAGAGGCTAGCAACGCTTACACATTCGAGAGCACCCCGCCTACCCCACCGGCTGGAAATATAGAAAGCAACGGGCTTCAGAACGGATTAGAAGGGCTTCACAAGGGACTCGCTCAAGTCCAGCTGAATGATCTCGAGAACACCGGTTCCCTCAACAAGGCTGTGCGACTTTCTCACTACGTTAATGGGATAAAACGCAGTGACACCTTAGATTCCCAAAAGTCTGAAAATGGCCACCACCGTATCCCTACTAGCCACAGCGATGAAACAGCAAGCAATGCGTCGAATACCTCAAAGATGAACGCATTCCAACCCCGCCCCGGTTACCGACAATGGGTTGCCCAAGCAGGAACCTTGGTGGCGGATCTGCTCACCTGTGCAGGAGCAGACCATATTATCACCATGGACTTGCACGACCCTCAATACCAAGGGTTCTTTGACATCCCCGTTGACAACCTTTACGGACGTCCTCTTCTGAAAAGATATATTCAACAAAATATCCCTAATTTCCACGAAGCAGTCATAGTCAGTCCCGATGCCGGAGGAGCTAAGCGAGCTACAGCTATTGCAGACTCCATGGGCATGGAGTTTGCCCTTATCCACAAGGTAGAACCACAGCTATTTTCTAACCATCCCGTATATATTTCCTACAAGCTTTACTGACGTCCTCTTCTCCAGGAACGTCGTCCCACCAAGATCACGGACCGTCAGAACGCCACGATGATGCTTGTCGGAGACATCAAAGACCGGACAGCTATTCTCATCGATGACCTCGCTGATACGTCTAACACTATTACCCGCGCTGCGAAGTTGTTGAAAAAGGAAGGAGCTTCGAAGGTCTTTGCCTTAGTCACACATGGTATCTTCAGTGGCGATGCCATCGATAGGATAAATGCCAGTGCTCTGGACAAAGTCGTTGTCACAAACACAGTCTCTCAGGAAAACAACCTAAAACGATGTCCTAAACTTGAAGTTCTGGAAGTTGGCCAAGTTTTCGCCGAGGTATTTCTAAATATCCTATCAAGTGCGCTTTTTAGCATATTACTCACTAATTTTATCTGATTATAGGCAATTCGTCGTGTTCACCATGGTGAAAGTATTAGTGTTCTATTCCAATATGACTGAAGCCCCCCCCCCCCCCCCCCCCCCTAAAAAGGCATATACTACGCAACCTCTTGCTATCAGAGCAAATATTAGCCTTTATGTCTATTTAGCTGCACACTACTGCTATTCCCCTTGTTCCTTTATCTCTTCCTGTCTTCCTTATCAAAGTGTTTCTTTCTTTTCTTTCTTTCTTTCTTTCTTTCTTTTTTTTTGTTGGCCTGGTGTTCTGAGGTATGCAGCCCAGCCATACCTCAAAATTCAGCCACCTAAGACAGTCATTTCAGAAGAAAGACTCTGCTTATATCATGATCATAACCCTCCTATTCCCTTACCTCCCTCCTAATATCTCATTCACCTTTTTGTTCTTCCCATACTCACCAAATACTAGCAAGGTAGGTGGTGAAGGCAATGTCTTTATTTGGGTTCAGATGAAGATCCCTTCTTCTTTTCTTTCTCCCAAATACCATCCATGAGAACACCAAAGAAAACAAAAAAAATATGAAAACAAGCAAACTTGAAGACCCAGAAAAAATAAAGCCTATAAAGGAAAGACGAGGGGGTAGGTTGTTACTTTTATTGTCTTCCCTTTATTTTGATTGCTTTTTGTTATTTTCATTACTTTTCCTTGTTTGCCCTGGGTGTTATGTTTTAGTCGCTTGACTGATTGGCGGCCAACTGGTCCTTGCCATTCTACTTTTGCAAGCAAGCGAGCCTGATATATTGATGTATTGGGCTTGCTAGAAGAGCTTTTTCGTTAGTATCTAACATTTATTGCTGGGTACATATCTTTACATAGTTACTATGCTGTAGTTTCTTTGTGCGATGGTCTCTCGATCCTTGTATAGGTTACTACGGAATCACGGTGTTAGTAAGCCCCTCGTCGGGATTGTTACGCAAGGGATGTGGGAGACTTCATGTTAGAATATTTTACCGTGCAAACGGGATTTACGAGCTACGAATATAAATGATGCATTATGGCTTTATAATTGTCTATTTCTTCTGCTTAGCGGCAAGGGAAATTTGTACTACTGCTACCGGAAGGCAAGGCGATGATATTGATCTAAATCCGAGTACAGGTGAACCGCGCAAACTGTCAGCGGTTCATCATATGAATAACATGGGGGAATTATTATGGCAACATGGAAGAGATATACTCCGAATCAGCATTATCAAAAACTCCAGCAATATCAGATATAAATAACTCAAAGAAACAAAGGACCCTTAAAGTACGCTTATATAGTTCCCTATCCTGTCTTTCTGATTCTGTGCAATGCACTCTGCGATCCAAGTAATGTTGCGAATTTCCTATTTCAATACATGATTAGCTTATATGCCTGGCATAATACTGAGTACCTGTAAGAACTGACCTGTTCTCGCAATTTGACCCAGGCGTATATTATAGCCGGAGTGAACTGGCGAGTGAATACCAGCTTCAACAATTCCATCTCTCTCTGGTAGAAAAGGTCTTCCAAGCTCTTGCCTTCGCTTCCAGCGCCAGACCCGGACTGGTTCAGACCAACAGTGTCAAAGAAAGCTTTGTAATCGGCAACTACTGTCACTGCGAGAGAGACACCCTCGAGGTCATCTGCGCGAGAAAGCATCAAAGAGCCTTCGGGATACAACTTGCCAAACTCTGGATATAGCTTTTTCCTCTCGGCTTTGGAGAGTTCGGTGCCGAACGAGTTGAGAGTGATGTTAATTGCCCGACGATCGGCCTCAAACTCTAGTGCTTCACACATGACTTGGGAGGTAGGAGAGTCTTTAAGCTCGGGGTCAGTGTTGATAAACCGGTAGAAGTCCTCCAGATAATTCTTGTACAGAGTGTTTCGGATGATTTCGATGTTTAGTTCATCCAGATCCTGATGGCTCAGACTGCCCTTGAAGTATGGAGCCAAAGGTGTTTCGATAAGGACAGAGTTATACAATTCTTCGATATTGGTTGCCACGCATAGGACTGGCATTGTCTCAAAGAAGCCAAGTGGGTGGCATCTGTCCAGGAGCTCCCGGGTGTCTCGCTCATGAAGAGTACCGGTGATGAGAAGTGCGATGTTATCAATCATGTACCCATAGGTAAGGTATTCCATAAACTTGGCCGTCGAGCCACTGGCTTGTGCCTGCAGATAGCGGAATTCAGCAACAAGTTTATCGGTGGCTTTACCAGCTAGAGCGGACGTAGAGGGATTCGGGGGAAGAGCAGCTAGAAAACCGCCATATGATGGGCCAAGCTGGAGCTTGACGTCTGTATTTACATGGTCAGCCCTAGCACACCGCAAGCTATCACGACGACCACTGTCATCAAGGGATAACGCATATATCCATCGGCAGCTATCGCAAGGATAGGTACATACCATCCACGGTATCGCATTGCGTCAAGTTACTGTAGTTCTGCGAGTTAAGAAGGTTATTGCGGTATCCGCGAACAACTCCTTCGACATAGCTGAGCAAACATTAGCCGTCCATCTCGTTCCAGCAAGTACCAGGATGGCTTACCCGTTATCCACATTGAAGAAGAGACCCTCCATGGTTGGCCAAGGGATGC